TGACATAAGAATTGATCTGGAACTGAATGCAGTGCATTTACAAGTCTTATACCACCCTTCTGTTTCAAAAGCGATTTTCGTTCCAAAAACACGCGAAAATGCAGTAAATATGGGGGCCCGAGAGCGTCCCACCCTCCAGGGTTTAGGGTTTAAGGGTCTAGGGTTTTGGGTTAAGGGTTTCGGATTGAGGGTTTAGGGTTCGGGTCCAATAGTATAAGAAACCGTATAGATTCATCGGGAGGGCCTATGGAAATTCTTGGTTTTCGGGCATTACCTGGACATCCAAGTTACCATGCACCCATGGTCTATATGGGCCAATACGCCATGTAGTGAACCGGCCGAAGGCAGGTCTGCCTTCCTACATAACTCCCTAGAAACTCCCGTTTCCGAATGGCAGGAGTCCAAAACCCCTTTAGGTTGTAGGGTTGAGGGGCCCGATGTTTCGACTAATTAGAGCTGCGCCCTGAAGCTCTGTTACGAAGGCCTGCCTAAGGCCCTATGTTTCAGACCCTACGCCCTGCGCCCGTCACATGCACAGAGACTACGCCGCCTGTGTAGTTAAAGCGCATTCCTGAACTTACGGTGGGGATGTCGCATTGGGAGCCGTATGGTTGAACACCCTGACCTAAACCCTAAACCCTAAACCCTTGCACATAACGTGAGGCTATGTTGGAACGTAACTGCTCCTTTGCTATCACTGCAGCATGCCCTGCCCGAATGCACTATGTTGGGAACCTCTGCTGTAGCTACGAGCTCTGGCTTGGCTTCTGAGTGATGCGGGCGTGTGTAGACTCCTGATAACAAATTTCTCGGTGCTGACTTTCAGTGGTGATGAACACACTGTGCGATCTGGCCAATATGGTCTGATTGGTACTGCAGTAGAAGGCCTATAAAGCCCTTCTGCCTAATTTTTCGGGCTGAAACCTGGCTTGATATGCAACCTCTGAGACGTCAATGTACCCTGCAATGCGGGCTCGTCCCTGCTAAGTAGGAGGCAAAAAACCCTTGCCCCCTAAGCCCTAAACGCCTAAGCCTCACCGGATGGCCTTAGGTGGAGACTCTGGGAAGCCTCAAACCGAAGCGCTATAGGCCCTCCGAAGCCCCGAAACGCCCGAAGCCTAAACATGCGCCAAAGAAGCCCGAAGAATTCTTAGGGTTTAGGGTTTATAGGGTTTAGTCTTAGCGATGTGCCGAAGATCGCAAAGCAGACAGGATCCTCGTGGATCGTACCGTTCGGAGCCTGGAGGATGCCAGCAGCACAGCAGAGGACTGATTAGGGAGGGGCTTAGAGCTTATAGATTTCGGAAACGGCCCCCTGAATCTACCCTCTCTGCTATACCCTATCTATCAAAAGGGCGCCTTTAGGGGGATTCCTGGTCGCGTTTGAAATATTGAAGGTTTATAAGGTCAGACTCTGGAGCTTGAGGGTTTAGGACGTATAGGGTTGAGGGATCGGCCCCCGGGAGGTTGGATTTGAGCCTTTTCAATTAGGGTCTCGAGCTTACGGTTTGGATCTCGTGTTGGTTAATCGAGGGTCTAAGGTTTCAGGTGTCAGCATTGCAGTCCCTGCTCAACAAAAAGGTGTCAGGTTTCAAGGCTAGCCATGTCTATTCTGGATCAAACGAGCATCTGTGAAGCTTCGTAGTGATGATCGCAGGGGGCTACAGAAGCCAAACGAGGATCCATACGATAGTACACCCCGGGCACCATCAGGTGCCTTATGCTCCATTATTAAAGCCTCATCCGCATGCCCCGAGTGTCGGGTGATATATACATATATATATATATATATACATATATAGATACGTTCACCATTCTACGGCCAAGCGACGAAAGGATGTATATTGCTGTGAAGCAAATAGCTGAATAGACCCCCGAATGAGCCACTTTCTTTGTTCCCCCCAGCACGTACTAAGCGGATTGAACCACATGCCTACATCATGCATCTTCGCTTCCTTAGTCCGATAGTCTGTAGCTCTCTTCCGGTAGATGCTCTTGGGTCCAAAGCCCAGGGGCCTGAAATGCAGCCTCTTGGCTCTGAGCCCTAAGCCCTAAACTTGCCGTGAGCTCTGATCTCTGCAATGCGAGAGGGAAAGAACCCTAAACCCTGAACCTTTCGGCCCTCAAGCCCTGAACCCTAAACCCCTGCAGTTTTTCGGCGGATCCGCCATGCGGGAAGCCCAATAAACCTAAAGCCCCATAAACCCTAAAGTGCTAGGCCCCAGAGGCCCATAGCACCAGAACCAAAAGCCCAATTAGATTTTCAGTCGTAAGGTAAAACCTCTCAGGACAGAGTTTTGTCAGAGTCGTATTATTATGAGCCAAAAATCGAGGGTTCGTGATTCGTTATGGACGGGTTCAGGTTTCCCACACTTTCAGGAGGTCTTGGCGCGCGACTCCAAGATCAACATGATGGTCCTTCCGGAGTTTTGGCTTTGGGCAAAAGAGTCCCTTAATAAACTTAAGTCGCTGCTGTATAAGATTTTAGTTGGTTTGTAGGGCTTTCGGGCTTTAGGCATTTAGGGTTTCAGGGTTTGTTTGCGAGTTCCCTAAACCCTCAACCCTAAACCCTCAACCCTAAACCCTAAACCCTACGGGGCCAAGCGAAGTTGCAGACAGTGTCACCCGACCTGCGACTATGGAACCTCGCCTGGCTTGTCCGAGGTGTCAGAGCGTAAACCGTAGGGTTTGAGGTCGTTGGCGTTTGTTGGGTTTTTTGCGGTTCACTCCTTCCGAAGTCTTGGGCCTTGGGCTTGCTCTTAGAAGGTTTAGGGTTTAGGGTTTAGGGTTTAGGGTTAGGGGTCGAGTAGGCAGCCTTTCACCCGTCTTTGGGAGCAGTTTGGAGTTTGGGTGGTGCGGGCGTGGAGTGAGTAAGAACCCAGACCATGTCGCAGAAGTGTACAGCACTTGAATCCACAAGTTGAGACCCACAACGTCAAGGGCTGCAGCATTTGCTGCATACTTTCCTTGTGTTATGCCTTTCTTTCAGTTGCCTTAAATGCGAATTGTGGAGCTTCTTAGTAAAGCCAGGGGTACCTCATTCAAATGTCTTCCTTATTGTCTAGACAATCCTAATATTTTTGGGTTTGCATTAGGTCCCGTATTTTCATCCTAAGTCTAAGCCTTACTGGAGGCCTGCGAAACCACCACCGGAGAGCACAGGAAAGCACCAACAAGCCATGGCGTTCCCTAACCCTCCAGGTACCTACTATATAGGGCCCTAGGGGCTCTAGTACCCTATATAGTAGGTACCTGGGGGTTTGGGTTTTCTCCTCGCAAGTGTTTTGTCTGCCAGGGTCTCGGCGCACCAGAAACCAACTGGTTCCAGGCATTTCGCACTTCCATGTTGTAGGTTGCGAACCCTTGTTGCTAGCGATGATATCCCAGGAGCACACCGGCATGTGGATGGTGTGCCAGTTCTTCTTGCGGAACATGCTTCCCCCGGACCTCGCCGCCGCCTAACACGTCGAAAACAGGTTTTCTATATCTACGAAGATAGCGGCTGTTATGCAAGATCCTTTAGGGTTACTATAGGGATTTATTCAGACTTGCTACAGGGAATCTAACGAGTCGATAAAACATGCTTCTGGTTCAGGTTTTGCTGAGCGGATCGGCTGCCAGGGGCAATTCGGGCCCTGAGCATCAGCACAAACCCTCGCACTGAGCCTTCCATTGTAACACCCTAAGCCGATTTCATCCCATAACATGACAGCTCCAAGCCCCCACCCCTCACACATAAACTATGTCCCCAAGAGCCCCCTTCCTAGAAGCAGCTCAAGAGGACTATGTGTGGTTCGTTTCCGCCTTCGGAAACTGGGTGGATGGAGTGGCTGACGCGGTGGCAGAAACACCTGCTTCCCGTCTGTAATAAGTAGAAGCAAGTAGAAACTACATGACGGTGACTTGTTGTTCGGCATGTCTTCATTTGTGTCCTGTATAGTTAGGGGCCTACTCCTTAGTCCAATGTGCTAACCACACGATATGGTTCACTGTTTAGGGCGGAAGGATGCGATAGAATCTGGGCTAGGTAGTAACCAACCCTAGAGGAGTCCTCTGAAAGAACCCTCATAATATCCTTACAGCAACCCTTATTGTAGTAAGCATGTCTTGCGGGTGCCAAGAGTCATCGGAAGTGCTGACTAATATAGGGGCTTAACTAATTACCAAAACTATTTTGGGGCTTCTTTGCTAAAATTAATGGGTCCCAAGACCCTGTTCTAATTATTAAGGGGCTCCTATATTACGCAAGGAATGCCCCTGCACTGCTGACCAGCTGCTGCAGGCAGGAGCAGGACCCTGGGTCCTCCGTAAGTACCCTTTTCTTTTTGCCGGTTTGGCTTTGGGAATGACTTATGGTCATTGGGCGTTCGCCCATTCAGCGCCTCAACGCCCCGCACGGCCTCTCTGGCCGACCACTGATAGACATCGCCGATGACTCCAAGCCGCACTTGGACACGGTTCTTGTTTTTGATGCGTTTCCTGAGATGTGAGCTGTGGCTTTGCAACACAAAGAGGTTGTTGTGCATGCTTCAGCTTCCATCCCAGGAATACGACCTTCGTTGTCAGCAATTTGGCAATGGACAGGGTGCATGTGATGTGCTGTGGACTGGATATTTCTACGATTCGCTTTGGCACTTGGCCGGTATATTTCACTCCTACCTGATCGAGCAGAACAAGCCCCTTTCATCACTCGGGTCTCCTGAGTCCCTTGAGGGCTTGTTCAACTTGTCTGTGCACGTCGATTACCTGGGTTTGACAGGCCGGGTGCGGCAGTTCAACAGTATTGAGCCGACCACGGAGCCACCTTCCTACGGTGACCGTGATGGCGTACAGCTCGTGCGGCAAATCCAACGGGGACGTGGGAATGAATTCGTCGAGCTGGCGCTCCGCACCAGTGATGGCATTGCCTGGTATACGGATTTGATATGGAGCCCAAGTGACAGCAGCAAGAGAGTGCCTTGCAGCAGTGGGACATGTAACATGGCCGCTGCGTGGGTTCCTTCCGACCGTATCAGCGAATGCTTCCCCGGGACCGTGTTCTCCGTTGAGCTCGGTTGCGTCTCTTGTGAAGCTGGAAGATTTGCTTCAGTCGGCATGTTAGAGTGTGAGCCATGCAACGTCGGCACCTTTGCCAACGAGAGCAGAATGGATAGCTGTCGTCCATGCAGCGCCGGAAGCTTCAGCAACGTCCTAGGCGCGGACAGCTGCGAGACATGCACCCCAGGGTTCTACGCAAATGAGAGCTCCTTGACATCTTGTGACACGTGCCCCGCCGGCCGTTATGGGCCCCAGGGAGGCCTGGCAGAATGTGAAGAGTGTCCATCTGGAAGGACCACTGCATTTGCTGGGGCCATTACGCAGGATGCATGCCAGTGCCAAGGGGAGCTGTATCAGGGAAGGTGCGTAGTATGTGTCGGTGACACTCGCTACGAAGAGGGCCAATGCATCGCATGTGGACAGGGGTTGATTTGCAATGGCAGTCGCACTGCAGATATCGAAACTAGGTGGCGCCTTGGAATCCTTTTTTCAATGCTCCTCATGGTTCTATAGAGGTAGCTATGCACAAAACTACTTTTGACTAGTCTTTTGACTGCCCTCTAGCCCTAAGAAAATCTAAAAATGCTCAGCCCAGGAAGCCGGATACTTTAGCGAGGCTACCGCTTCTTGTCAAGCTTCAGAGATCGTTTACACGCCTTTCTGTGCTGGGAGTGATTGGATTTGTTCTTGTGCCACTGCTGCTGCTGCGCTTTTTGTAGTAGTAACTGTCGCCATCATTGCAGCAATTGAAGTAGTAGAAGTATTGGTAGTGTTTTCAGCAGGCATAATGCAGGTGCTTTCCTGACCTTTCAAGAGTTGTCGAGGCTCCCTTCAGTGTCTACAAGTGCCTTCCGCCCGATTTGTGCCCTGGTGGTTTGCCGGGAACCTGTGCTGACGAGCTCGAGGGCGTTCCCTGCACTCACTGCCCAGATGGTAAAGCCTGGGACAATGTCGAAGGCTGCACAGAATGCACGCCTCTTGCCCAGATTTCACATTCCACCAAAAACTCATAAGGCGCATCGCCAAAATCTCACATGACGCAGGTTTGGTACCCTAAACCCTAAACCCTAAATACCCCTAAACCCTGTTTTCAAGACGATGAACCGACCTGCAAGTCGCAGAATCTGATTTCGGGGTACAATCAGGCCACTGAGCATTTTCGGCTGGATCACCGCCGCCTTGTTTGCGCTGATTTCTGTGCCGATGCTCTACTACATGATGAACATGAAGCAGCCCGCAGAGGTTTAGGGGGCTTGCGGTCTGACTTTCAGGAAGTTGCAGTTGCGATGGGACCAGTCGTAGGATCGAGTTGTGAGCAAATGTGGTTTGTAGCTTCGGCATGTAGCGCGTCGTGCACGGCTCCATGCACAGGGTACATGGACCAGCTGAGGCAAACCGCCAAAGCCACAACGATGCTTGCAACCTCGTGTGCGTTGGCCATGACCATCAGCATGATCCAGAGTCTTGCTTGCACCTCCGGTACGCAACCCTAAACCCTAAACCCTAAACCCTAAACCCCAACTCAAAAGCTCTGAGCCCAAAAATATCCCTAACCTGAAAGTTATACGCCTACATCCAACTACCCTGCCTGTAGCCCCCAACCCTACACACCAGTAGGGCTTAATTATCATTAGGGTTGAGGGTGGAAAACGGTACGTTACCCAATGAAGCTTTGACAGCCCTCCAAACCCTAATATACATTAGAAGCCTAAACCCTATAAACATCCCTAAACCCTACAAAGCCCTATATGCCTCGACCCTAAACCCTCAAAGCCCTATACATTATAAGCCTAGAACCTGAAAATCATAACCCACGATCCTGATATCCTAAGCCTCGCAAGCCTCCAAAAGCGCGATGCTGAAAGCCTAACCCTATAGGGTTTAGGTGTTTTGGCTTGGAGCTCGGGTGTAGGGTTTGGGGATGTTTAGGGATTTAGGGTAGGGCTTCGGGTTCGTCCAAGGAACGTGGGAATTGTGGGCTACATTTCCTTCTCCTGGCCGTCAGAGCAGCTTGGAGAATCTGTGGTTGGGTGTAGGCTTCGTTTTTTTTTTCAAGGTTTGTACGGGTATAGGGTTCTGTACGCGTGTTGTTTCTGAGTGTTTCTTTAGGGTTCCTAGGAGTTCTGTGGGGATCGAGGCGCTTCGTCCCTTATCCTCCGTTGGGTTGTGCAGGGTTGCTGGGCAGCCACCACCAAACCTGCAAAGGCTGCAGTGGATGTTTGACCTCATGAGCATCTTCACTCTGGATCTTCAGGCTCTGGCATGAGCTCATTCGGGACAGGGTTACGAGATCATGCCCGGGTTGCTGTGATTTTGGTGCGTAGCATCCAGGGCCAAGTGGGTGCGAGGCATTGGGGTATTAGGGTTCAGGCAATACTGGGCAGGCCTTTGGCCTTTTGGTTTATGCAGGGGGTTTTTGATGCAAGTATCTGGCTGTCTGTCCCCAAATCCGGTTGCAAAGAGGGCTTCGAGTCCCTGCAGCTGACTAAACCCTCTAATTATACGGTTTAGGGCTTAGGGTTTAAAGATTCCAGCTTGCCGGCATACACCCCAACCATGCGTGCTCAAAAAGGGGAAGCCCTCTCAAATCTGATTTTGTTGGCGTCCAGGGCCCTGCAAACTCAGCAGCCTGTCACGTGAACCTAGCAGCAGTTTTAACTTCCGGCACGCCACCGAACGCAAACAAATCTTGAATCATTCTGACCCTAACGGCCCCATGCTATTTCCGATGTAGGAGGTTTCATTGATTCGGGTTCCGCTCTGATATAGGGGCCTTAATGATTACCTGTACTTTTTTTGGGGTTCCTTATTAGAATTACAGTACTATATACCCCAAAACCTTATTCTAATTATCAAGCCCCCTACATTAACCCTAAACCCTGAAGTCAAAACTGGCTGAACCAAATCCTGTTCTGTTAAGGCCTCAGTTCAAGTTCGCGGCTGTTGTGGCTTGGGTTAGGTGCCTTAAGGCTCCATGTACCTATATACAGTGTGTATACTTAGGCCCAAAAGTATCGATGTAGGAACGGACTCCTTTTAGGATTACGTATATACTATTTCGGTACATGCTGCCTTCGGGCTAGGGCATCTTCAGCTCATAGAGTTCTGCACCGTACGTTTGCAACATCTAAGACTGATGGCTTGGCGTTTCGGGTTCAGGTTGCCCAAAGGGTCGAAGTACTAATATGGTAGCTACTTTGTAGGTATTTGGACCCCCGAAGTATATACTATACTATAACTTGGACCCTTTGGGTTCTGGGGCGTTGAGTGAGGTTGGGAAGCATCCTGCGTCTCCGAAGACCAGGTCCTGATCCCACAAGCCCAAGCATGGACTCAACATGCTCCCAAGCAGACTCAACCCTAAACCCTAAGCCCCGAACTGGCCAGGCGGTTGGCTTCGATTGCCTTTCAAGCTCACCTGTCTACAGTTACTGGGCTTTGGAGGACCATCCTTTAATACTTTTTTTTTGGGACCTGTTCCTTAAAGGAACCCATTATAAAAGTAAAAGTCTATACTTTTTTCTCCTTGGTTACTTCAAAGCCCAGGTTACATGATGACCTCGGCCATGTTGCCCTGCTCCTTGATCTGGCTGCTTCTCAGCTCGATATAGGCCCTAAAGTAGTTCCTTTTGGGGGGTTCATAGTATAGAATCCTATAAGGTAATCCCAAAAAGGAACGACTATGGGGCCTATGGGTGGCTCTTCAGGGCTTCGGGAGTGGGGTTGAATACATCGGAGCCTTCTTCTGCGCTGGGCGTAAAGGTCGGAGCCTGAAGGGTTTGAATAGTAAGTGTGGTTTAGGGTTTAGAGTTTAGGGTTTAGGGTGTGGTAATTATAACATACCCCAAACCCGAATCCAGGCCCCTAAATCCATGGCGAAGCCAAAACCCGAAGCCATGTCTGAAGTCTGAAGTCGGTTGTATCCTGGGGTCGGTTCAGGTGCGAACATGAGTCATAATATAGTAATAGTACTGATAAAAACCACACAATATTAATACCAACAATGATAATCATGTTAATGATATGAAATCTTTATATACTAAACAGTAGCCGTGCAGTAAGAGTAACCAGATAGTTAGAAGAAGGATAATTAGTGCACTCAGGATACTAACGTTGTGTGTTCCTTCTTCCGTGGGGTTAACTTTTCGGTTGTGTGGGCTTGCAAGGCACGGGTACGGCTCGTTGTGCGCAGGCGGGAACGATTGCAGGAAAATGCAACGCAACCAGCCATCCACACGGGAAGAACACATGAAGCTAGACAACCAGACAGAACCCATTGAGAAGTTGCAGCAAAAGTGCAAAGTGAGGATCGTTGTTCGGGATTAGGGGACCGTTTCAACACGAGTAGAATCACGAGCAATACAGATAAACGAGGTCATGCCTGGGTAATAGTCATTGTCATAGTGACGTAAACCGTGAAAAGCACAACTTGTGTACAGGGGCGAAAAGAGGCATTGTATGCGCAATTGCGAAGACAGGCTGATTTGCTTCTTCTTGAGCAAGCTGCTGCCATCGCCGTGGCGTTTCGAGAGCGGCAAGCTCGTGTCGACCATGGGCCAGTTTATGCAGGCCGATTGCGGTTCAAATCCTAGACCTGAATTAGCCACGAAGCCAAATTTGGATGGCTCATCGCAGCAAAGAGCTGGCGGAAGCCTACTCCTTTGGATCGCTGATAGTTGAACAGGAGCGTGCTGGCCGGTTGAGACATGGTACTCTCAACATCTAACAACCAAGCAGCACAATAGAAATACTGGTGAATAGTGAATGGTGACATTCATCGACATCACGACCGCAGTAGCCGCGTAGCGCCGGATTGGTATTTTTCCGAAAACTTGAGCAGGTGAGCTTCACGATCTACAGCAAGATCGCTTTGTCGCCCATGATGTGCTACACCCACCCCAATGGAAAGAGCGGCATGCTTCCTGGCAACTGTTGAAGGGCATGTTCTTGTTTGTTGCTTGCCTCTAGTCTCCATTGTAGTTCCTTTTTGGGGATACCTTATAAAATCCTCAATATATAACTGGTTAAACCAAAAAAAGGAACTACAATGGAGACTATAGGTAGTTTCTGTACACAAAGTGATGTTTCGTGTCAGTGCTTCCATGTGCTTGCACGACATACCAGGCTTGAGCACAATGGCATCTTCTGCTTCGAGAGTGAAGAACACACGCCCATGCTGCTTTCTGCAAAATGGGTAGAATGGGTAATGTACATATTTTCAAGGACAAAGACTTATTTAGACTAGTATATTGTTTGTTTGATTATATTATTATCATCAAGATTATTATGATTTGCGGCCACCGGCCCACCGCGCGATAGCTCTCAATGCCAAATCCCGCAGCTAGTACAGGGGCCGACATAACCAGACCAGAGTTTCGGGATTTTGATACTGAGGATCCCGAAGCAATTGTGAATAGTTAGCTCTGACTAGATAGTAAATAGTATGCGAGCCAGAGTTGGCCGGAAGTTCCAATTCTTCCAAAGCGTCATCTCCAAACTTCTATGGGAAGGACCCTAAGCCCTAAACCCTAAACCCTAAACCCCTAAACCCTAAACCCTAAACCCTTATTGAAGGGAGGCTCCTTCAACCCTAAGCTCTACACCCTGCCTATAGTCTCTATTGTAGTTCCTGTTTTTGGTTTAACCAAGTATATATTCAGGATTTTATAGGTATCCCCCAAAAAGGAACTACCATGGAGACTATAGGTACGTCCTAAACCCTAAATTCAAGGAGCCGTATCAGCATTGAAAGACCACTCTGACTGGAGAGCCTGGTCTCTGGGTTCCTAATGCACAATGCCCCCCTTAAGCCCGCCCCAAGCCCCCAAACCCAAGTAGCTTAAACCCTAAACAATGTAAATGTAGCTTTTCCAGGTCCAAGTTCAGCCGCAGCCATTTTCGGAAGCCACGGATCTGGGACCACTCGACAGTTAGACTGCTCTCAACACATCCAACAAATCCCCCGTTCTAAGATCCCTAAAAGCCGCTATAGGGAGGGTTTATAGGCATCAGGGTTTGGGGTTTTGTAAGCACCAGAAAGGGACACTTCTAACGACTTAGGAGGCTCCAAATTGAAAAACTCTCCAAAGTTGAATAATCTTGTGCCCTAAACCTTAAACTTAAACCCTTGTCGACACCTAAACGGGTTCCTTTCAAGGGAACCTGTTAAAGAAACCCTAAATCCCCAAATCCCCTTGAAACCCTCCGGCCCCACTCCAGGTTCCTTATCGGCATCCTCCTCCTGGCTGGAATGGTGCCTGGTCCGTGTGTAATGTACGGTTTTCCGGGGTCGGGTATACAGGGCTGAGGATTTAGGGCTTTAAGGGTGGGGCGCTGCGGCTGTAGGGTTTTCAGGGTTTAGACTTGTTGGCAGGTGTTGGTTCCTTGTAGGACTGCACTTCGAGGTTTGGCGGCAAGAGTTTAGGACGAGCACACGGCGAGCTCTCAGGATCATTTTCTATGCTATGGCCATCTGGGCCACAGTTGTGGCACCGCGGAAAGCAGCCTCCGAGAATGTTTGGCTACTGAGTGGCAACGGTGGGTGTTACTGTTGGAAAGGCTGGTCAGGGCCGGCGAGCTCCAATCAAGCGTAAAATGGTTTAGCATAGTGGGTTTTCACAAAAGTCATAACAAGAATTTCTAGCGCAGCTAGTCGTCAGCGCTATCACAAACCCTACTACTACTACTACTACTACTACTACTACTACTACTACTGCTACTACTGCTACTACTGCTACTACTGCTACGACTACTGCTACGACTACTACGACTACTGCTACTGTCACTACTGCTACTGCTTCTGCTACT